TCTCGTTTCCATCTTCTTTTTTCTTTTCCATCTCACTTGTGACAGCAATTTGTTACGTCTTTGGTAGTTTGTTAATTTTCCGTAAAAATTCTCTCCGAGGAACTTCAGTGATACAAGTCCTTTCTTAAATAAAACTAGTTTATTCTTTCTCAATATAACTTTGCGATACACTTAATTAATCCACTATAATTCACAACGATTCATGCATTTTACTTACGGTCACTACCGTTCACTTGACTAAATTATCTGTCTATCTGCAGTTATATATGCCGTCACTCTTCATCTTCGCTTTATTTGCCGGGCTTATATACAAAAATAGAGGGCGTCTGGCAAACATTAGAGTTGCCAGGAAAAGTCATGATCCTTCTAGAAACTCATGACCTGTTATCAGGATCACGTGACTTCCACTGTCGTAACAATATTAACACTTCAACCGCAAAACACAAACACTTGACTGTAGTTTTTACTGATTAAATATTAACACTTCAACCGCAAAACATAATTACCTGAGTTTAGTTTTTACTGGGCAAATATCAACACTTGAGCCGTAAAACACAATCACTTGACTGTAGTTTTTACTGATTAAATATTGTTACGACTGTGGAAGTCACGTGACCCTAGTAACACGTCATGAGATTCTAGAATGATCATGTCTGTTCGTGGCAACTCTAGTCTTCTCTACTCGCCCTCTACCGGCAAATGAAGTGACGGCATATAGATAGATAATTGCAGACGGGCAGAGACGGATAATTTAGTTAAGCGCAGTAGTAAAGCGCGTGAATCGTTGTGAATTATAGTTAAAGTGACTTAAGAAAGGACTTGTGTCGCTGAAGTTTCATCGGAAATAAATTATACGGAAAATTAACAAACGAACAGACGCGTAACAATATTAACACTTCAACCGGAAAACACAAACAGCAGACTTTTTATTTTACTGTATAAATATTAACACTTCAGCAGTACAAGAAAATCAGCTGCCATTGTTTTTACTGATGACAAAACCTTGTCGAAACGTTGTACATGGGCTTTTATGTTAAACTCATATTAAAGTTTTTGTCATTACCAATTCAAGCCGTCTCCAAGCATTATTAGTCTCAAAGTGGGTTCCTCATCATCGAATTTAATTCGTACCGAGTTACCACTACAAAAACAGGGAGTACGTGACTGTGTTTTATTTTCAGTTTTAGTCATTGAGAATCTTTGTGGACACTGGCCGAGATTCAGATGAAAACGCTACGTTCCACTATTTTTATTTTATTTTGACATTATTTAAACCATAAGTAGGCCTAGTAGTAGTATTAAGTGTTTAAGAAGCTATATGTATATATCATTATATGGTTATACCACGATTGCTCATGTGTTCATAAGAATTCACATTTCGTGTTACGTAGGTGGGCTTTGTGGTATAATAGACAAAGACATTAGTTTCATGATACCAGGGTCAGATGCTAGAATCTAGCCTGTGACAAGTGATTTTCTTGTTTTGAGCAATTTTTCTTACGTATTTCTCTTGTGAGATGAAACTTATAAGTTAATTTTTTCAACTTTGACTGATTGTACAATGAATGGATCATAATTAGCAGAGATAGGTGTATTATATTTTCTACATCATCTACGTTAATTAGTTTTGGTTAGGTTATAGTTAATAGGCTAGATTTGGGTAATTTAGGTTAGTATGTGGCACACTTAGTTGGAAGTAATAATACAACTGATTTTCATATGCTATATAGATACAGCAGTCGTATATCTATTGTTTGAAGCCTACTTACATAACTGTCTCATATATGCTCTGGCGCACTCATAACTTGTTTTCATGATTACATAAACTAAAATGAACAGTGTTGTAGAGGTAACCATGCAGTTAAACTAGGTAACTGTAAATTAGTCAATTATCTGATTACTCTGGTATATAGTGAGAAATATAGATAGCATAATTGACAACCATGTAGCTGTTTTCATTTGAATCTATACATATATATATATATAAAACCTCAGTTTGTGGTATCTATACAAATAATGATACCTTGTAAAAGTACAAGTAATCCATTGGAAGTTTCTTCATCATTAATCTCAGCTTGTGATTGAACAAGCTGACTCAATCAGCTGTTAAGGCTAATGTATTTGAACGTGCTCTACGAGAATGTTGTCCAATGTTTAAGATGCTAGCAAGGAACCATGATAAACAGAGACTCCAAGTAAAAGAAAGTTTGTTCATTCACAAGCTGAGCCCTGATGTTATTGTTACAGAAACTGCTTGTAGATTGTTTTTATAAAAATGTTGTTTGTTGTAAATCATTTCATTATGAGATCTTATCTATGTAGAAATAGGCTGCTACCTTAGAGGAAGATGAAGTGAGCTGTTGGTACAGTTAGTACTTGAATGATATTTATTATGTAAGATGAAAACTGTGATATACACTCAACTGTGTGCCCCAAAAACAATGATAAAGATTGGTAAATTGTATTGATTTATGGTATAAAAATGCATGTAATATATCTTTAATTTCAGACAGCAAAACGAGAGAACGGGTAAACTAGACACAAGTGAAGTTGAACTCCAGTTTTTCGATTCCTGCTACATGTTGAAAGAGGAAGAGGATGAAAAGTGGAGTGGTTGGTTAAAGCCCTCCTGTATTCCTCTCACAATTATTCTTATCTTAATCCTATTGGTGGTGGTTCTTCCTCTTCTAGATAATGAAAAAAATGACGACGATTCATCAGCAAGACTAAGCGACTTGACATACTTAAGAAAAAACTGTAATAGTCCATGTGTGTAAGTAGTAACGTTTTTAATCTGACAGTAATATTCAACGGTACAATGATTAATTATATGTGTATGTACTTACAATAATATGAGTAAGTATGCAAGTCTGTTTAATACTCTATAAAAACTTCATGGAAAATTCTACACAAAACTTAAGCAGTTTGATAAATTCATGCATTTTGTGCTTTGTTATATAATCAGTGGAATAATTTTGGGTAACCTGTTAAATATTTTTATACATTAGTGTATGTTATCCAAATAAGTATTTTTCATACCATGGACTTTCTTGGAGTCTTATACTAAATGCTGGATTGGACTTGAATAATATTGTCAATTATTGGAACTTTAATATGTGAAAACTTAATTTTCCTATATACAGTTTTTTGTATCATTCACAATAAGCTATGTTACTTAATTGTTACATTTTATTAACTTTCAGTACCTGTACTGTGAAAATAATAAAATCTGATACACACTTAATTATTGAATTTTGATATTCATATATTACTCTGTGGATAATTAACTTTAGGTGTCCCTGGGTTATAGAAACATTAAGTTTATAATATATATATATATATACACACACACTACAAAACATTCGTGGTCAGGTTAGTGTACTTTTTTAAATACAGGATTTTTAGAATAATACAAAAGAACTAATCACAGACACTGAAATCTATAAATCCACTTGTCTTAGAACTAACATTAGTTAATCCTTTATTAAGTATGGCCTATATTCAATAATGAGATAAATTACCACTGTAACTTGTGTATGTTTTTTATTTAATTTAGTCCCAACTAAACTTTACTGTACTCAATACGATCAGTAAATAAACTTATAATATTATTCTACAGCCTAACATCAGACCTTTTTAAAAACTTTTAAGTTTTTGTATAAAATGTCTACTCAAGTATATTTACATTCACCTTTTGTTTACATCCATTGAAAGGTAGTGAATGTACGTTTAGGTAGCAGTGTTTGCATGCGTGGTCAGGACAGACAAAATCTGAGTATTATTATAATAGATATATGCTTATATGTGTCTACGTAGCTTGAATACTAAAGGTTACTAGAAAATGGATACATGCAAAATATTAAAGAAATACATGACTCTGCTTCATGGTTTTGAAATTACATTATAATGAATTATTATTGTGAAGTAAAATTAGTTTTATGATTAGCTTATGTTCATTGTATTAAAAGAAATGCAGAGAAATGCTTATGTGTGAATTATTTTTAGTGAGAAAACATTTTAAACGTTTTAGTACTTCTTGTTATATATTTTTTATGATTTTAAGAGATATCATAGTATAATAGTATAATCATAGTAGTTAATCTCTCATTTCAGTTTTCAACTTGTTGAAAGTATTCCAGAAAATCTCACATATACAAAAGGTTCACCTCTACACCCATCTATATTTGAAGGATGGCTTGATTTAATTGAAAAAGCTGAGAAATCTATCGATATTGCCTCATTTTACTGGACACTACGAGGTGATGATGTTGTTCCTGACCCATCTGCTTGGGAGGTGAAGAACTGACCAGAATAAAGTCTAAAGCAATCCTAATATTTTGTGGTTGAAATCAAATATGAAGGGTTATATCTTCTTACCAAAAACTGTTGTATTTGGCCTTATTCAATATAAGAGGTTAAAGTTAGCAAAACTTAGTGGTGTATGTATGTTAAAATGGCGAAAAGTAGGGTGAGTATTAACTCCTTAAACCCAAGCAGGTGCTGCCAGTGTGCCCCAAAATCCTGATTTACTCATCAGACAGTGACAGCATCCGATAACAGTTATGTCTCCTTGGCAGAAAACTAATGCAAACCATTTTATTATCCAAAAAATCGACAAAATTTAAATTTTATAAGATATGGTGATAATTATTAAGAAATCATGAAAATAATATCGGCAGAATGCTAGAAAATTATGGGTTTAAAGAGTTATAGAAATTAAAGTAATAGGTATAGTGGGGGGTTTTGAATTTTTTTTTTAGTCATGTAAAAGCCTTGTTTATTAGATGTTGAGTAATATTGAACCCTTCATTGAATATTTATTTATTTTAGAATATTTAAACTAGTATATACTATAAATATATTTTAAAGTAGTAAACGTTTAATTTGATTTAATATTGATGGAAGAATTTTAAACAGTTTCTGTTAACCCTTTCTATACGGATCACAGGTGAAAGACCATGTCATTTCATTTGTTGACTCACATTCAAAATTTTATTGAACTACTATTTCATGAATTTATGTTAATAAGTCTGATATCAAACTGTAGATTATAATTCAAATGTTAGTAATATATATATTACTCAATTTCTTAATTTAAAAGTAAATATTAAAAAAACAGATAAACATAGATATTTTTGGGTGTCACAGAGTACATTGAATGCAGCATTAGTTCAAATTAGATGTTTATGAAGTCAAAATACAAAGTCTATAGTTTCGAGTGAATTAGAAACTCAATTTATCAATATTGACAAGCTAGAATATAAAATAAGAGCCTCTTATCTTTTCTGTTTCCTAAGATATTGCTCATGTAATAAATCAAACATAGTGGCATCCCGCTCACCTCCTTCCATTATTAGAAAAGCTTCCTTATAAACACTTACTTCTATATATATGAATAACCAATCACAAGCTCAGAATGCCCCCTAGTGGTTTTGTTAGCCTTTCTAACATACCTGGCATCATTTCTTTCTTTTGAACGAAGATTTCAATGAGGTAGGTTGTATCTTTAGTCTGCTCGAAATTTCTTATTTTTTTAGAGTAAAATACATATTAGTTAAATTATAAATTATAGTTGAATTTTTTGTTTTTTTTTCTGTAGTAATTTATGGTTTTTTTAGTTAAAATGGTTATGAGGTTGATTCCAAGGACCGAGCCTGGGTTGAAAGAGTTAATGATTATCTGATCATGTTAGCCCGAACTGGTGAGTACTTCGTAGATGGAGAGTGCATACCTGCATATAGAACTTAGAAATTTAAGTAAAATAATAGTTATAAGTCTATTACAAAAATTGTCCACTTAAAATTATTTTAAGATTGATATATTTTCATTTTGTAAAACTTATTAAGTGTAATTTGCAAAGAATAATGAAAAAAAGTCCAAATTTAAACTTATGCACAGATTCAAAGAACCTTGCCTTTCAGAAATGCACATTTTTTAAAGAATTTTTTCTGTCCATCCCAAAGCATAAGTTTTCATTTGCTAAGAAAATGTCATCCCCTGAGAAAGAAATTAACAAGTCATATTTTTCTTGTGTTTCCACTCTCTCCTAGTTTAATTATTACAAACCTCCATTCTCACCATTTTCTGACCTCACAACAAATTGTGTGAACAGCTACTAATGAAACATAATTTTGAAAATAGCTACAGACTATAAACACCATTGGCTAGAGCAGATTATAAACTATTCACATGAATTAGGGTATATAAAATTGTATGAGAAGTGTAGGAAAGCAACAAGATGAAAATTGGAATTTAATTGGAAGTTTAGATGACTTGGAAACAAACCACAGAGTCCCCCATAGGGACAGCAGTAAGTTTACAGGCTTACTAGTCTAAAATACAGGGTTTGATTTCCTGCGGTAGACACCGCAGATAGCCCAATGTCTCTTTGCTCTAAAAAACACAGATTTGTAAATTTGTGTATAGTTTCTTGGAATGTTTTTTTTTTTATTATTGGAAATGTTTGTATTAAATTATATTTGTTTGAAAGCTATAAAAATTTTCTTCACTGATAAGATATGTAAACCTAGTTACATTTAGAGGGTATGGTAGGCAACAGAAAAACATCCAAATTATTCGATTCTGTAGTTATTTAATATTTTTATTAAGTTTGTTGTACTCAAACAACATAGATAAGTAATTTGATGTTATCTATAGAAAATAAACTATATTTATTAGATATAAATTGACCTTGATCAAGATTATGGTTACTTAACCTGATCTAATGGCATTTTGATGGGTCAAGTTGTAGGTCAGTTCTTGTCGTGTTCTTTATACAGCCAATGACTACTGCAATTGGAAAAATAAAGTATCAGAATAAATATGTTTGTGAAGATCAATCAATTTGAAACTGATTTTTTACATAAAATGAAACATTTTTATCAGTAATTTAAAAAAATTAAATTTTAAGATGAAAGGAAGTACGTTTTAAGATGAAAGGAAGTATGTTTTAAGATGAAAGGAAGTATGTTTAAAGATGAAAGGAAGTATGTTTAAAGATGAAAGAAAGTATGTTTAAAGATGAAAGGAAGTATGTTTAATATTTGTCATCAAGGTTTTGGAAAATTTCACAGCATTAAAAAGTTTGAAAATGGTAATCAAGTTCAAAACTACGTATCATTTAGAAAGTTTTAACTAAGATTCATACAGTTTGGTCAAGTATTTCTAGTGTGAGAAAAAAAAATGTCAAGGAATATCAATGACATCCTCCCTCCCAAGTCTAGAAAGGGTTAGCTCAATATTTTACGATTTTGTGGTTTCAGAGGTACAGCTTTGTTGATGATGTTATCCTTTCATAGGGTGAACGTGTTTTTCAAGAACTTCTTCATGCCGGAAATACACGAAACATTAATATTAGGATTGCTCAAAACAAGCCATCAATATATCAACCAAATAAGGATACTGAATACTTAGCAAGAAAAGGTAACTTTGGAAGATTTAATTAGTTATTTTAACTTTTTATTCTTATGTTTGTAAAAGTTCAATAAAAGTATTGTTAGTTCAAACATCTTTGATTCAAACAAAAATGTCATTATATAATTTTATAAATAATTCCTAATAATCTTTTGTTTGTATACAAAGCTGGATGCTGTATACATAATTTCATAGTTTTTAAGAAGTGTTCATGTGAAACAGGAAAAGTTATAAATCAAGACATTTGACAGTTAAAACAGTCTCTGTTGATGGAATATCTATACAGCTGTTCAACGAAGGTGAGATAGAACAACTGTGCACGTTTATCTGATAGTTAAAACAGTCTCTGTTGATGGAATACGTACAGCTGTTCAACGAAGGTGAGGTAGAACAACTGTGCACGTTTATCTGATAGTTAAAACAGTCTCTGTTGATGGAATACGTACAGCTGTTCATTGAAAGTGAGGAAGAACAACTGTGCATGTTTATCTGACAGGTAAAACAGTCTCTGTTGATTGAATACGTACAGCTGTTCATTGAAGGTGAGGTAGAACAACTGTGCATGTTTATCTGACAGTTAAAACAGTCTTGTTGACAGAATACAAACTGTTTGTGTGTGATTGATGGAGAAAACTGTGCACATTTGTCCAACAGTTTCCAGTGTTGTTGATAGAGTACATACAGCTGCTCATATAGGATGAAGAAGATTAAACATTCTATAGTGATTGAAAAGATAAATATGAAATGCTAAACTTAATATTGTTGCATCAGCGAGGTCACGTGACTAATGTCACGCCACGTTTC